AGCTTGAGGCTCTGTCTCAAAAAAAAAAAAAAAAGAAAAGAAAAGAATACTACATATGCAATGGAAATTAAACCCATGAAATACCCAAGAACAAATTTAGCTAGGTTGGGATAGGACCTACATGAAGAAAATAATAAAATTTTATTAAAGGGCATAAAACAAGAACTGAAAAAGTGGGAAATAATATTTGCCTTGAAGGACACTGCTAGCATGACATAAATTCTTCCCATATTAGTATAGAAATTCAGTGTAGTTCAAATTAGAACCTTAGTTTTTTTGTTTGTTTAACTTTAGAGAATAGTCTAAGCTAACATTTATTGAGTGCTCACCATATGCTAGGCAGCATTTTAATGTCCTTTGTGTGTTAATACAACCACATGCAGAGGTAGTGTTATTAATGTAGTTCTACACCAGACATATAAAAACTAAAGCAAAGATAGCTTGAATGATTGCCCAAGATCACACAACTAGTTAAGTGGCAGAGTCAGGATTCAAACCTAGGTGGTCTGGCTTAGCTAACCCTGGCAAGCTATATTGCCTTCTTAGGGAAGAATAAAAATAAAAAAATAATCAAAAAGCTTTTGAAAAATAAGAAAGACAGGATCTACATATTCTGATAAATGTTGGAATTTACTTTAGTCATTATAATCAAGTAGAATTGTATTAAACCAGAAATAAGCAGATGATTGCATCTTCAGAAACAGATCCAAGTACATATGGGAATTTAATGTACTATAGAGAGAAATGGCTTATTTAATAGGCAAAGCTATTGGCTATCTACATAATAAATAAGGAACATTTAGGTTCATGTCTCACAAAAAAAACTTAAAATTTAGTTCAGATGATTTAGAGATACATAAAAATTAAAATTATATTATGAAAACATTTTTAATATGGGAGATTATTCTCATGATATGTTAGAACTTACTTAAGCAAGATAAGAAATGCAGAACTCATGAAAGAGAAAGAAAGCACAGCTAAATGGTTTGCACGTCCCCACACATGGACCATAGACAAAGATCAAAGAAGGTAAAGTGGAAGGCAATGTTGGCAGTGTGTTTGACAGAGAAACTTCTTTATGCTGTTTATAAAAGGACAACATAGGAGAAAAGTAAGCAAAAGATAGAAACGAGAAATTTGTAGACAAAGAAGTGAACATAGCCAGTGAATTAAATCTATGAAGTTATGTCTTAACCAGATGTTAATTCTGAAACACAAGAACTCAGAAATCTAGTGTAGTTAATATAGTCTTTGAAAATTCCTTAACCTGCACATAAAATATCACACACATTTTTTTTCATTTTCTTAGTTATTATTTTAAAACATTCACATTCTACTCTTAGAAAGATTCACTTGTACCCTTGTAAGATGAATCTCAGAAGCAATCCCTCCAATCCCCCTCCCTCCACCCATTCCTCCCTCCCCTCTTCCTCCTCCCTCCCTGTATTCTTAGGCTGTTATTAGGTTATAGCATTCATATAAAAGGTATAAATTAGTTTCATAATAGGGTTGTGTACATTGGATACTTTTTCTTTCATTCTTGTGATACTTTGCTAAGAACATTTTCCAGCTTCATCCATGTGAACATGAAGGACGTAAAGTCTCCATCCTTCTTAATGGCTGCATAGTATTCCATGGTGTACATATACCACAGTTTGTTGATCCATTCATGGATCCATGGGCACTTGGGCTTCTTCCATGACCTGGCAATTATGAATTGGGCTGCAATAAACATTCTGATACAAATATCTTTGTTGTAATGCAAATTTTGGTCATCTGGGAATATACCTAATAAAGAAATTGCAGGGTCAAACAGCAGGTCTATTTTTAGTTCTCTAAGTGTTCTCCAGATGTCTTTGCAAAAGGAACGTATTAGTTTACATTCCCACCAGCAGTGTAGGAGTGTTCCCTTTTCTCCATATCCCAGGTTTTGGGATTTTGTGATATGGGCTAATCTCACTGGAGTTACATGATATCTCAAAGTAGCTTTGATTTGCATTTCTCTGATGATTAAGGATGGTGAGCATTTTTTCATATATCTGTAGGCCGTGCGCTGCACACATTTTGAACTATAAAACCAAGTGGTGTGTGAATTATGCATTCTAAACTTTAAGAACTGAATAGAGTGGTGAAGACTATAAAAAATACAGATGTCTGAGTATTCAGATTTTTAAACATATCAAAACCCTAGAGGAAGGTGCAAGGGGGGTGGAAATTTCTCCTTCTTGTAGATTTTATTCCATTTTTAAGAAAGCATTAAACCCTTCCCAGCTTAATAGTTATTAAAAGATTTGTTTGCTTGGAAACAATAGATAAAAAAAAGAACTTAATGAAAGGCTTGAAACACGCTTAATAGCTGAAAAACGTTTATTGGGCCTGAATTTAAATTTTGCTTATTAATTAGATCCCACATACAACTTTTTCTTAAAAACTTGATTAGAAGACTTGGATTGGCTTCCTTTCTTTCCAAGTTAGTGTCTTCTGTCTGACCATTGAAAGCTCTCACTCTTGGGCAGTGCCTGTGGCTCAAAAGGGTGGGGCGCCAGCCCCAAATGCTGGAGGTGGTGGGTTCAAACCCAGCCCTGGCCAAAAAAAAAAAAAAAAGAAAGAAAAGAAAGCTCTCACTCTCTCATCCTTTAAACTGGTTGTAAGACACTTTACCATAGTTCTGGAATCATGTATTTTAGGAAGACGATGTGTTTTAACCACCAAATTTGAAAAAATTAGGACAATTAGTAACATCCCACACTGACTAATGTAGACCCTCTTGTATACTTCCATAGTAGTGTCAACTATTTAACCCTTTTGGAAAATCTATTGGAAAAATTCATTCTGTAAGAGAAATAAAAGCACCAGTCTTTGTGGTGCAAACACTGACACCAATACAAATGTTCATCAGTAGGAAAATAATAAATTATGCTATTCCTACACTGGTGAAAATAATGTGCCTTCAATAAAAAGTGGTTACCAGGTACCAGGGCAGTGAGAAAAAAAGAGAGATTTTGGTCAAAGGGTACAAACTTTAAATAGTAGGATCAGTAAATTCAGAGAGTCCAACATCCAGCATGGTAACTGTGGGTAACAACACTGAACCATGTGCAGGGTGTCTGTAAGGTCCGTGTGTGATTTAGAATTGCCCATGAACTCCATGGATGCACTGTACTTAAAATTTGCTTAAATATCCTCACAACAAAATAAAACAAAAATAGGTGACTAGGTGAGGAGAGAGGGAGATGTGTTGACCAACTTGATTACATTAATCCTTTAACAGAATATACATATGTCAAATCATCATGTTGTACCCCATAAAATCATACAGTTTTATCATTTATACCACAATAAAGCTGGGAAATTTTAGAGTGAGAGAGAGCTATAGGTATGAATTTTAGAAGTATCCATGATGTTTTTCTATATATTGTTAATAACAGACAAAATATAATACTATCTTTGTTGAAAACTAGTGAAAACTGAAAACCCCACCACAGAAAAAGAAACCTGTATGTTTGTGTTTGTGTAAAACTTCCCCAAGTGTGGAAGGATATACCCCCCCCAAGCTATTTTAATTGGCAGCCCCAGGGAAAAGTGATTGGATGAAGGAGGGAAGAGCAAGATAATCCTTTTACCTTCTACTCCTCTGTTGTTTGAAGGCTTGATTTACATTAGTGACAATAGGAATTTTTTTTTTTTTAAGACAATGGGAGATGTAATACAGAAATAGAGTGGATGGGAGTTGGGAACTGTATGGATGTGGGTGGGAGTGAGAGGAAGAAGCCAAAGATGGTTTAGCACTTTGCAGCCAGTGTAAGAACTGTGCTCTCTCGGAGGAATGAGGATCTAATGAGGAGGAAAGACAGTTCTTTTTCATTGTTACCAGAGGAGAGGTGACGAGTTCAGGTAGTCAATCAGAGCTGTGCTGCTGCTTGTTTTAAATCATCATTGTTCCAACAGAAAATCTTCTTATCATGGTGTTAAAATCTCAAAAAAAGCAAAAATGCTGCTTTGATTAAATAATGAGTTCATGTAATGTGAATTATATCTCAATGAAGATTTTTTAAATGCTGCTGTATAGTTGCATTTTATGTGGATTATAAAACTAAAAAAAGGCAAACCTATTACGTTACCTTATCTATGCATACTCAGAAAAATTTTTGACTTTAAAAATAAGAATTTTTAAAAGTCTTAAACATGCAAAAAATGATAAGCTTTCCTATCATATACAAGGTGGCAGAAACTATAAAATATGACATGTACAATTTTTACTGTATGTTTCTTTTATGTTGTTTTAATATAATTATTCTTTTTGCAAGTCCACTGGTAACTCAATGCCTCATAAATCATGAAGACTATATTTTGCTAAAAAATATTCTTTGGAAGCAACCACTCAAAGATTTTTAGGTCTAGAAATAGCTCGTTCCCCTTTATTCCATAGGAAGCAGCATTAGAAATTTAGCCCCACGGAGAATTTATTTCTGGCATATACAGTCAAAATGCTGGCTGAATTTATTTCTGTATAATTATATCATATTTTATGTTGGAGCTGAAGTAATTTCATCAGTATGAAATTGTATACAGAGATAAATGAGTCAACAAAGTCACCTGAATAAATCATTTTCATTTTAATTTTCAGTTATGTGGAAATCAGCTTTTTCCCCACGCCTTTGTTCACCAGTGATTACATTTTCACCTCGGACGCCATTCCTATTTTTATCTTTCATAGTTGAGTTGTGTGGAGCTTTGCATAGGAAATGTTTTTTACATTACATTTGTCATCCTTGGCCTCATTTAAACAGGACATATTTATAACTGCCATGATTTTATGAATTGCATAAATTTCAGAATCTTCAGAGAATTGGGTGATTGTGACATTGTATATAGTCACTGATGCTTTATTTTATGGACTAATCCTTATAATATGAATTATGCTACCTGTGGTTCCCCTGTTGAAGAAAATAGAAAAGAAATAATTAAACTTTTTATTTTGTATATATCTTATTTTCCAGAAAACAAACACTGCTGGGGCCAGTGATGCAGACACCCCATTGGCAGACCCCGGAATGTACCAGTTGGACGTTACATTAAGAAGGGGCCAAAGTTTAGCTGCCCGGGATCGAGGAGGTGAGAATAGCAGAACAGTTTTACCGAGAAGCTTGTTTGGGGATGTTTCTGACTGACTGTCTCCTTATGATTGCTTAAGTTTAAAAAATTAACTACAATATTATACATTTTAGAAGTTTAGATTCAAAGACATAGTCTGACACATTACTTGACTCTTCCAACCACGAAAGAAGCAGTTTTGAAGCAAGTTCCAAAACCCTGACCTCTTCCCAGCCTAGACAGCAAGTCTCCGCCAGACTGCTAACTGATTAGACTCTACATTACCCACATTTAGTGACGTATTGGCTATAGAGGGGGGAACTATATTCTTCACATCAGCAGTTACTTTTTGGCAGACATGAAATTCTTTTTGCTGCATAGATTTGCTCAGTTGAATCTGCTGAAATTGCAGGATCCAGGATTAATATCTCACTTATAACTTTGGAAATTCCCAGCAAGTGACCCTCTTAAGTTTGGTTGGACCAGGCAGTGGTCTCTGGATTGATCAAGCAGGGCTTGCCAGGTCCATGATGAAGGACAACACTAGGCAAGTACTCTTAGCTCCTAGATTCCAAATCCCCAGGCAGTGTCCCAGTGAACAGGATGAGCCAAACACGGGATTCCCTGTATCCTGGTTAGAGGCAGGACCAAGCACAGACCCCAGGTAGACTGTGTAGCATCCTTTGTACATTTTGAAATACCAACACAGGAAGTAGAGACTTTAAGAGCCCCAAATCCAAAAAGAAGGCAAGTTTGGGTGTAACTCCCCCCGTCAGAGGGCGGAGAGAAGCCCATACTCACCCATTCTCAGGTGACTTGAGACTTTCTACATCACCCTGCTTCTGGCATTACATCATCCCATTTTTCTCCTCCCACCCTATTTGACATCCATACTCAGGGAGCAAAAGGAACTAGTTTAGGGCTATAGTTTTTAATTTTTTGTCTCCTATCTAACTAAAAAAATAAAATAGAGGAAATAATTTAACATAATTTTGGGGGTATTATGACTAGAAAATATACAAACAATAGATTACGTTTTTAGGTAAAAACTATTAAACATCAAAACATTCTTAATAAATTGACGTGTGATTGAAAGTGTTAGAATTTAAACACACAGGAGAACTTTTGAAAATAATCATCTGGTTTAGTAGTTCAGGACAATGTTTATTGAATAGAACTATCTATCTCAAAAGAAGAGACAATTAGTTAGAGAAAAATAATATGAATAACATAGTATTATTTTGCTATATTTACAGTGTATATAATATTTCTTAGTTTTCAAAGTATTCTCCATCATACAACAGTCTGAAACAGAAATGTACCAGGTAACAGAAAATCTATTTTTTTGTCCTATATTTGCCCCCAACAATTTGAAATACATAAATATATTTATTATGTTTTTTTGTGATTATGAAATATTAGAAACAACCTAAATACTCATAAATAGGGCAGTGGTTGAATAAACTGTGATACATCTACATCCTTATGCTATGCAATGGTAAAAACGAAATAGTAAAATCTCTAAGAATGGGTAATGGATAAGTGTTCAGGATATATTGTTAAATTCACTTAAAGCAAAGTGCGGGAGAATACTAACAGTGTGCAACGCTTTGTGCAAGAAAGAAGGTGGCGTAAGAAGTTATGCACCATCTGCTCATTTGTACAATGGAACCACAGGAAGCAAAAGCCAGAAACTGGTGAGTTTGGTAAAGGTGTAAAATAGGTGGCAAGGAAGAGGGTTGGGAATGGGATAAAAGGGGAGAAAAGAAGATAATGTTTCTCTGAGTAAACTTCCTTATGTAGTTCTAACTCTTTAACTATGTCAATATTTTTAAATGAATGAAAGAATGACCTGGATATGGGAAGACCCCAAAATGAAAGGAATCTTTTGCTGTGAGCACTAGATTTTAGTAGTGGGCCTACTAATATTTAGTAAACCATGGTGTAAACAGGTGTGCTGTCATCAAAGCTTTGTTGTTCTATTTATAAAGCACAGGCAGAGTAGATTTAGCATAATTTTTAAGAGCCCTGGGATTTTTGGAGTGGTAGATGAGCATTGGCATCAACTGAAGTCACCATCTGCATTAGTTCCTAACAAGAGAGTTGACCTCTCTTATGAAGCTTTGAAGCCAGGCATTGACTTCTTACTAGCTATGAAAGTCCTAGATGGCATCTTCTTCCAAAACAGTAGAAGGCTGTTTTGTTCACACAAAGTCTGTTGTTGAGTGCAGCCTTCTTTGTCAGTTCTCTTAGCTAGTTTGGGATCACTTGCTTCAGCTTCTACAGCAAAACTTGCAGCCTCTGCCTTGCACTTTGATGTTACAGGGACTGCTTATTTTCTCAGACCTCATGAACCAATGTCTGCTAGCTTCCAACTTTTCTTTTGCAGCTTCCACACCTCCCTCAGCCTGCATAGAATTAAAGAGATTTGGAGTCTTGCTGTGCATTGGATTTTGGCTTAAGGGAAAGGTGTGGCTGATATGATCTTCTATCAGACCAGTCCAACTTTCTGTCAGCACTAAGGCTGTTTTACTTTCTCATTTATGTGTTTACTGGAGTAGAGCTTTAATTTCATTCCAAGTCTCTTCCTTTGCATTCACAATTTATCTAATTGGTGCAAGACACCTAGATTTTGGCCCGTCTCTTCTTTTGATGTACCTTCTTCCCTAAGCTCAGTGATTCCTAGTTTTTTATTTAGAGTGAGAGACTTGTGGCTCTTCCTTTCACTTAAACCCTTAAAGGTCATTGTAGGGTTCTAATTGCCTAATTTTTAAATTTATTTTTTAGTTTAGAGTATTACAGGGATACACACATTTTAGTTACATAGTTTGTGTTTGTACATCTGAACTCTATGTTACAAGTGTGTCCTTCACCCAAAATATGTGCTTGCACTTGTTAGATAGGATTTTACCCTGCCTCTTCTCATCCTTGCTACTAAATTTCCATCGAGTCTTCCATATGTGCGCATAAGCATTAATCAGCTAGTTCCAATTTAGTATTGAGTACATGTGGTGTTTGTTTTTTCATTCTTGGCAGTACTTCACTTAGAAGAATGGTCTCCAGCTCCATCCAGGTTGTTACAAAATACGTAAATCACGAGGCACCACATTATCAGACTTCAGGTTATACCACAGTCTATAGTGATCAAAATAGCATGGTACTGGTACCAAAGCAGAGACATAGACATATGGAATAGAATAGAGAACCTAGAGATGAGCCCAGCCACATATCACCATTTGATCTTTGATAAACCAAACAAAAGCTTGCATTAATAAATGGTGCTGGGAGAACTGGCTAGCCACATGTAGAAGACTGAAACTGGACCCATACCTCTCACCTTTGACAAAAATTGATTCTCATTAGATAAAAGGTTTAAATTTAAGACACAAAACAATAAAAATTCTAGAAGAGAGTGTGGGAAAAATGCTTGACAATATTGGCCTGGGAAAAGATTTTCTGAAGAAGACCCTTCTGGGAATTGCAGCAACACCAAAAATAAATTAAAAGCTTCTGCACAGCTAAGAGTACCACAAACAAAGCAAACAGATGGGCTTCAGAATGGCAGAAAATCTTTGTATGTTAAGTATCTGATAAAGATCTGATAACTAGAATCTGCAGAGAACTCAAATAAATCAATAAGAAAAGAACGAACAACTCCCTCTATAAGTGGGCAAGAGATTTGAACAGAAACTTCTTTGAAGATTGACACTGCCCGACCAGCGGGCGGTGTCGGGGAGTTTGTGATCGGCGTATGAGAGGGAGAAGGAAAGGGTGGACACAATCACACAACCACTCATACAGTATAGGGAGAAGGCTGAGCCGAAGCTGTTTATTTGGGATCGCTACAATCTTATATAGGGTTAGTTGAGGGGGCGTGGTTACTTCATGAAGCTGAATCTATATAAGGCTAGGAATGTAGTCTTTGGCCTATGATAGGTTTAAAATGTGAGGGGAGGGTGGAGGGGTTATGCTGTTCTGACAGGAGGGGCCCTGCACTGTGCTCTGCGTTTCTGTCTAAGTCTTGTACAATGTAGCTAGTTCTATCCAGTTTTCTTACCAGTACTGGTCTTTTCATCCGGCCTTTTCACGTGGGGGTTGAATTAGCCTAGCACTTCCTCTTATGATGTAGTTTAATATTTCTGTTAACCCTTACAAAGATGATAGATGAATAGCTAACAAACACATGAAAAAATGCTCAGTATCTTTAATCATCAGAGAAATGCAAATCAAAACCACTCTGAAGTATCATTTAGCTCCAGTGAGATTAGCCCACATCACAAAGTCTCAAAGCTATAGGTGCTGGTGAAGTTGTGGAGAGAAGGGAACACTTCTACACTACTGGTGGGATTACAAACTGATACAAAGTTTATGTATTAGTATGGAAGTATGGAGAATTCTTAAAGAACAAAAAGTCAACTTTCCACTTGCTCCTGGAATCTCATTACTAGGTATGTACTCAGAGGAACAAAAATCATTTTACCACAAGGACATTTACACCAGAATGCTTGTTGCAGCTGAGTTCATAACTGCCAAGTCATGGAAACAACACAAATGCCCATTAATCTATGAATGGATTAGCAAACATAGATATGTGTTTGCCATGGAGTACTATTCAGCCATAAGAAAGGATGGAGACTTTACATCTTTTGTGTTTACCTGGATGGAGTTGAAACACATTCTTTTTAGTAAAGTATCTCAAGAATGGGGAGGAGGGAGGGAAGACACTAAATCACCAATTCTTTAATGCCTGAGTAGTACTCTATGGTCTGCATATACCATATTGTATTAATCCTCTCTTGTATTGATGGGCATTTGGGTTGTTTCCACATCTTTGCAATTATGAAATGTGCTGCTATAAACATTCTAGTGCAAGTGCCTTTTTGATAAAATGTCTTCTTTTCCTTTGGGTAAATACCCAGTAGTGGGAGTTCTGGATGAGAAAGTAGGTCTACTTTTAGTTCTTTGAGATATCTCCATACTACTTTCCAGAGAGGCTGTACTCATTCCACCAACATTCTCTC